AGCCGAGGTGGTGTGCGGCATTCGGCCGGCTGGGCAGGGGACAGACGGTGCACATGGCTTGTGCCGAGCCCTGCCAATGCCCCAGCTCTGCTCTGGGCGCAGGAGCTGAGCGCTTCCCGTGGTTTGTGTTCCAGAAACTGCAGAAGCAGCATGCGGTGCAGCAGCAGCAGCTGGAGAAGCAGATTCAGCTGCTAGCCCTGCCAATGCCCCAGCTCTGCTCTGGGCGCAGGAGCTGAGCGCTTCCCGTGGTTTGTGTTCCAGAAACTGCAGAAGCAGCATGCGGTGCAGCAGCAGCAGCTGGAGAAGCAAATTCTGTTGCTGCAGCAGCAGCAGGAGATGCTGCTCCCAGGCCGGGTTTCCGAGGAGGGTGTTCCTACGGAGTCCGGGAAGGCGGGGATGAGCCAGGGAAGCACATCGCAGCTCTCGCAGAGCTCTGGCCCTTCATCCCACCGGAAGGACCTGGCTAATGGGATGGTCAGCCCGGATCCGGCTGTCCCAGCGGCTGCTGAAGGTGTGTGCAGGTGGGAATGGGTGAGGTGTGAGGGGTTCTCTCTCCATAGATGTTGTTACCCAAAGCAGGAGCAGAGGTGCCCCACAAATGAGAACTGCAGTCCAGCTGAAATGCAAGACCTGCTGCTGGATAAGCGTGGGCTGCACAAGCAATTGCAAGAGTAGTGGGGCCAAAGAAATGGCCAAGTGGTTAAAGAACTGGATGTTCTTCATATAGGACTAAGGCTCATGGGTTGAAGGATGGTTGTCTTCCTCTGCAGATGCTGAACCAGATGTGATTGTAGTTGGGAAAGTTTCTTTTAACCCCAAGGATGTGCTGGGCCACGGAGCTGGAGGAACCTTTGTCTTCAGGTGGGTGGCGCGCCGGGGTGTCCACCCTCATTCCTCTCTCATTCTCCCTGGGAGCCACGCGTACAGCACCAAGGCAGCTCCTTCCCTGGGTGGTGGCCGCTGGTTCAGAGGCCTTTGAGAATGGGTTGGCACCTTCCCCTTCTCATGGTCCTCATCAAACCCATCTGGAGAACTGGGTTTGTTGCCTTTGGTTACCGGGTACCGGCTATGCAGGACAGGTCTCCCCCTCCCAGCGCCCCCCAGTGCTCCCCTTCCCCCCCTGCCTGCACCAGGCTGTTGGGCAGCTGGGCTGTGCCTGCTCCATGCAGCCCTCAGCAGTAGCAGGTCAAGTCCTCGTAAGGTTCCCCTGGCTCTGGCAGAACCCCTTTCCCCAGCACTAGGCACAGCAAAAAGTGAGAGAAGTTATTTTCCTACAAAAAGCGGAGCCTGAGCCCCCAATTTCCAGCTCGCTGCAGAGATTTCTGCCTGTCCATAGCTTTGACAAGTCTCTGGGAGTCACTCCAAGGTGACCCATGCTGAGGACCCCACGGGGCGAGTTTCCAGCATCAGCCAGAGCTTGGCAGGGCTGCGCATCTGCAACGCTGGGCTCTGCTCTGGCTGGGGAGGGCTGTGCATGAACGCCGCCATCGACTCTGCGCAGGGGACAGTTTGATGGCCGGAATGTGGCTGTGAAGCGCCTCTTGCCTGAGTGTTTCCATCTCGTGGACCGTGAGGTCCAGCTGCTCCGAGAGTCGGATGAGCACCCCCACGTCGTCCGCTACTTCTGCACCGAGAAGGACAAGCAGTTCCACTACATCGCCATCGAGCTCTGCTCTGCCACGCTGCAGGAGGTGAGCCTGGTCCTGGGGGCACGGGACCAGCTGCGTGAGGCTGCTGCTGGGTGGCTGCCGATCAATCCTGGGTGTCCCCATCCTCACATTTGTAGGTCGGTCCCCAGGGTTTGCATCTGTGCTGTTGGGGAGGTCCTGCAGTGCTCCCACAGGAGCATGGCCGAGGGCAGGGTTGGCAGCCAGTGGCTCCCGGGTTCAGAGTGCTTTTGGGGGTTCCTGCCTGGCCATGGGCATACAGCCCTACTCCAAACCTGCTTCCCAGCAGTCAGAGGGAACAGGGGTTGGATCGGGCATGGGCAGGCTGTGAGGCGCTTTGGAGAGGCAGAGCAGCCAGCGGCAGCACTGCTCCTGTGTCAGTCAAGCCCTTGCCCTTGTTCTCCTGCCGATTTACCCTCTCGGGAGGAACCAGGGCAGCTCTGAGCCTTGGCGTCCATCGGGGCAGTTGTTCACATGCTGGGAAGAGACTCGGCATGCAGGAGGAGAAGCATCCTTTTACTGCTCCATACAGCATGAGTGTTGCTGCGGTTGGGGAGGTCCGAGGACACAAATGAGGGCAGTTTGCTGGCAGAGGGGATAGATGTCGACTGATAGACCTGGAAAGGGCAAGCCTTGGGCACAAATGGCCTCTACGTGGGCTTGTCTCCTTCCACCTCTGTCTCCTGACAAGCCTTGACTCGGTTGCCTCAGTAAATCAGGCTTCAGCTCATGTCTTTGTACCTCCGTGTGGTTCCAGTATGTGGAAAGCCCCAGCTTCGATCGCCGCAGCCTGGACCCGGTGTCTCTGCTGCGTCAGACCATGTCCGGGCTGGCCCACCTCCACTCCCTCAGCATCGGTAAGAGGGCAGCGTGCAGGCTGGAGGGTGATGTGTCCCATCTTGGTCCCATCCTCAGCCAAGGCTGCGGGGTTCAGGCAGCAGCTATTGGGTTCGGCAGCGTGGGGGACGGCAGGCAGAGCTCTGCTCCCGCCGGCAGCACCGGCCCTGCTCCTGCCCCACCGCGCGTTGGCAGGTGACGCTGCGCGCTCTCTCTTCCAGTCCATCGTGACCTGAAGCCCTGTAACATCCTCATCTCTGTCCCGAATCGCCACGGGCAGATCCGAGCTGTCATCTCTGACTTTGGCCTCTGCAAGAAGCTTCAGGGGGGACGACAGAGCTTCAGCCTCCGCTCCGGCATCCCTGGTACCGAGGGCTGGATCGCGCCGGAGGTGCTGCAGGAGGCCCCGAAGGAGAACCCTGTCAGTGAGCCGTGGATGCCTCCCCTGCCTAGGGTGTTCCTTTAGCCCGTCGTGGCAAAGTCCCCCGCGCTGGCAGCGGCCTCGCAGCGTGCTGCTGAAATGCACGATTAAGACTAAAGCTCCGAGAGCCCAAGCCAGCCCAGATGCAAAGCACTGGTGCTCCTCGTCAGGACCTCCTAGTCAGTGGCTGTCTCTGCCCTCGCAGGGACAGTGCCCGGCTGTGGCTCAGCACAGGGTGTCTCATCTGGCTACAGTCCTCAGAAATTCGGGGTGGGGAGGTCGGAGGAGGCCGTGGTTTGCTGCGAAGGTTACGCTTCTGCTCGTCTGTTTAGCCCAGGGAATCTTGTTCCTGCTGGAAGCCGGTTGCCATACTGGTCCCTGGCAGGGCATGTGCTGGTGCTGTCACTGTGCTCCACATAACCTCATAGTGGGCTCACTTTGCACAGCTGGGTGAGACCCCAGTAGCCCTGATGTGTCCATCTGGCTGTGGAGTCCTGACTTGTGTCTGCCTCTGAAAACCTCTTCCCTGATAAGGACCCGATGTGATGGGCGCTTCACCGTCTCCAGAAAGCAGGGCAGGCAGGAACCCTGGTGCGATGCATTTCCCATCAGCTCTAGAGCAAATGACCAAGTATTCATGTAAAAGAATGGAAAAGTGGGGAGATGGAAGCTTTCCTCGCCCTTTGCTGCTGGAGTCCCATCTGCCCCCTCGTGTTTTGCAGACGTGCGCTGTGGACATCTTCTCAGCCGGCTGTGTCTTCTACTACGTGGTGTCAGGAGGGCAGCACCCGTTTGGGGACAGCTTGCGGCGACAGGCCAACATCTTGTCGGGCTCTTACCAGCTGAGCTGCCTGCAGGATGAAACTCATGGTGAGACCCTTCCCAAAAAGCACATCCCCACGGGGACGCCCTGAGCCGAGGGGCGCAGCTCCCGGTCCTTTTCGGGCAGGTTAGTTCTCCATTGTGTTGTTTCGCCTACCAGACAAGCTTGTTGCGAGAGAGTTGATTGTGGCAATGATCAGCCCCGAGCCCCAGCGCCGACCCTCGGCCACTGTGGTCCTCATGCACCCTTTTTTCTGGAGTCAGGAAAAGCAGCTGCAGTTCTTCCAGGTGAGTGCACGCCGTCCCACCGGGCGGTGAACGTAGGTGTGCTCTGAAAAACAAGTGCTGGAAACAGCCATGTTTAGGTCAACGTGCTCATTTTGAGCTACTTTTGCAAGGGGCCGAGGGTCCCTGGTTTAGGGTCAGGGCCAAACCTTCTTTGTTCCCCCTTGGTGCCAGCTCTGTTCCCTGGCGCTGGACGGGGCGGTGAGGGTAGTGCCATATTCCCCCTGTCCCCACTCTTGGGCACGCAGGACGTCAGCGACCGCATCGAGAAGGAGCCTGCCGAGGGGCCCATCGTCTCGGCGCTGGAGGCGGGGGGGCGGTCGGTGGTGAGGACCAACTGGAGGATGCACATCTCCCTCCCGCTGCAGACAGGTGAGCGTGCTGGCGCCGGGCTCGCCGCTACAGCCTGGGTGGAATCGGGCAGGGAATGAGGCTCCCGGGTCCAGTGAGTGCCCTTTACTGGGCAGGAGATACCTGCTTGTCCACAGGAGCCAAAAACCCAGGGCGGGTAGACGTGCCAGCCCTTCCTTGGGAGGGCAGAGCTGCGGTGCTCACGGGGGCTCGGCAGCGCTGGCACTGCGGGGGGCTGCGGCAGCCCCTCACCCCATCTACATCCCACCTTGCTCAGCATCTCTCCCGCTCTCCCCAGACCTGAGGAAGTTCCGCACCTACAAGGGGGCTTCGGTGCGTGACCTCCTGCGGGCCATGAGGAATAAGGTACGGCAGCCCCGGCTCCCCCGTCCCCCCGCTGCCCGTGTCCCCCCTCTCACCTCACCCTCTCTCCTGCAGAAGCATCACTACCATGAGCTGCCGGCCGACGTCCGGGCAGCCCTGGGCTCCGTCCCCGACGGCTTTGTGCAGTACTTCACCTCCCGCTTCCCACGGCTGCTGCTGCACACACACGAGGCCATGAGGGTCTGCGCCCACGAGCGGCTTTTCCACTCCTACTACTGCCAGGGTCTGGAAGGCGACAGCAGGTGACAAGGACACGCGCCGGGATGGCACCCACCCTGCCAGGCTGCTGCCGCCGTTCCTCCCTGCCCTGCCTGTACCCGCAGCCCCATCTTGCAGTAGCCCCAGGGGCTCTCCAGCATCCTTCTCTCCCTCCCCAGGGTGAGCAGGGGCCCCAGGACCGGCTGGTCGCCCAGTGTACACATGGGTTACAAGCAAAATGGTCCAGAAGAAATGGGCATAGTATGGCACTGGGCTCCCATCTAGGGTCTCCTGAGCCCAAGAAGGACCCTCTGGACACCCATCTTTGCAAGCACTCACAGTCAGACTCTGTGGCCTGAAGGCATTTGTGTCAGAGAACAAAAAAAATCTCTGCGGTGGATGTGGTGTTTAAGAAGAAAGAAGAAAATGAGCGTTGGGTTTTCCTGAGGGCAGCCGGCAGAGCGATGCACTGGCAGAGCGATGGAGCCGGGCTGGGGCCAGGTCCCAAGACGGTGCTCACCAGGGACCAGTGCACTTTGTCCTCCGGTGCCACACGCCTGGGAAAGCTGCTCTGTGAGCACGTGTCCCACGTGGCTGTGACCAGGACTGGTACACCAGTCTTGACACTGGAGATGGTCCTGCAGCAGAGCAGGTCAAGCTTGTAGCACCCACCCCAGGGCTGCCGAGGGCAAGGTGCCATCAGCCCCAGAGGGAGGCACAGGGCCTCCAGCACAGTCCCGATAATGAAGTTTTGAATCTCAGCTGGGCTGAGAAAAAGGTTTTCTCACTTTTGGTCACCAGCAGCCTGTCATTATACCAGGCCAGAGCCCCCCCTCCCCACGTCAGTCCTTCACCTGCTGTTCCAGAGCTGTGTTTTGGGACACAAAGGCAGGGAAACCCCTTCTCCCCAGGGATCCCTTCCCTCTGGACACATGCCTGTGTCTTCGGCTCTCAAAGCCTCTCCTGCTGCCCTGGGGCAGGTTTCCTATGGGTGTTCTTCTACTTCACAGCATCCCCATGGGTGCATGTATTTCGTACGATGCAGCCTCCGAGCGCAGCACCCGCTGGGTGCGTGAGCAGCCTGGGAGCCCCTCGGCAAGGTTTCCCCCTCTGGAAGAGCAGTAATTTTGTACAGGCTGATTCCTCTGCGTGCTGGGGTATGGGATTTTGTTACAGAGATAACAAGGGGTTTACACTGGGTTAAGTTTTCAGAATACTGTATGGCCTAGAGCATTTTATACAAAATGTTGTAAAAACATAATAAAAACTAAAAAGCTTGTCCTGCTTAAAAATAAACTGGCCTGAGAGCACCGGTAGGTGCTGGTAGTCAGCAATGGTGGGAGAAAACCAAGCATACCTTACTCGGCTCCTGTTGAAGCCTACTACAGCAGATGACTTTTCCTAATTCTATAGTCACATTTATTAGCATCTTTCATGTAGCAAAGAGAGCCAATGAAGCAGGAAATGAGAAGGTAGGGCTGTTAGCCCCCAGGTTAGGGCTCATCTCCTGTCGTAGCCCCAAGGTCTCCTCTCCTGCAGCACAGCTAGGGCAACCAGCATTCAAGCAGAGAGCATGAGCTCAGGAAGAGGACAGCTTTTGCTTGGAGGGGAAGCCAGAGGCAAGGTGCTGCACCCTCCCTCGCAGCAAGCTAAAGGGAACCACAACAGGCTGGACGCTGCAACAAACAATCTTTAATCAAGTTATGCAATATACAAAAGTTTAGGTTTCATGTAGATTAATTTCAGTATTAAAAGGCTGATTGCTCAGTCTCACCCTGGGCACGTTAAATATCTTACCTGAATTTCTACAAGAGGAAACAAAAGCCTAGAGCATCGGCACAGGCATGTACAAATAACTTACATGATAGTTCTGCTCTCCCCATGCTTTGTTCCCTCAAGAGAAGGCCCAGGAGCCTCAAAGAAGAGGGTTGGTTTTTGAGTCAGGCTTTTGGAAGTTAGAAAAAAACAACTAGGTATGCCATTAAAAAATAGACTTTCTATTAGGAGTGGGGAACAAGAAACCTTTGGGTACCAGTCAGAGTGAACAACGCCATTCCCACAGCATCAGGGGCTTCCTTGTGGCAACCAGACCAGACTCAGGAGTGGGAGCCCAGCTATGTGATGGGAGGTTACAGTACGAGCAGGGATGCTACTAGACCTCCCCATCCACAGCTGGGACAGTTTGGCACAGATGTTGAGTCCATCCAAAACAAGGCCTAAGCAGAGGGTTTCACGCGGGCTGAGCCAGACTTTGAACTGAGGAGCTTCTCTACCATGGTGCGAGCATAGCGGAGCCGGCTGGCCAGCTCCTTGCAGCATCCGTGTTCCTCGATGAGGCTCAGCTTGTACGTGCGGAAGTCCCGTTTCTCATCTATGTATGAGACAGCAGCCATGAGAGGGCACAAGATGACCTTGGTGTGGTCCTGTGGGGAAGAGAACACACCGTCACCCTGAGCACTCTGCTCCTTGGGGCAGATGATGATTTTCTCATGATGAACCACCCCTACAGCAGTTGGGGCATCCCAGAAGCGTGCTGACAGAGCGCCATGCTGCAGCGTTCCTTCATAGCTTGCAGCAAAGGGGAACAAATCGATCTGGCTCAGCCAGCTCAAGACCGTTCTGCTAAAGGACACAGCCCCTTCATAAGCGAGGAGTGCCTGGGTGGCTTACATACCAGCAAGGCGGGTAAGGGGCCTCCCAGTGCTCGGGTCACTGGGCAAAATTTCAGCTCAGGTTATACCCTCCTGCTGCCTTACACACCGCGCTGCCTGTGGCGGGGTTTTATCAGCAGCTGGAGCTGCGGCCCCGGACAAAAGCGGAGTAGCAGCCTCACCTGGAAGAAGTTGATCTGCACAGTGCCGTTGCTGAGGTGCAGGATGATGGCGCTGCGGGTCCGGAACCACGTGCAGAGGTAGGGTAAACGGGCTAGCTCGTCTCCTTCCCGTGGCGTGATGTTAGCACCCGCCTTCAGCAAGTGCTCGCTCATATAGTTCCGGAAGTATTTTAATAGTGTTATCTGCAGAGAGGAAAGGCCGTCAGCAGACAGACAGAGGATGACTCCTGCTATTTGCGGAGCACAGGGACTGCTATCACAGTGCCAGAGCCTCCTCACGTCTTTCAGAGCTTGAGGTGTCACTGCACCAGCTTGTGCTAATTCTCACACTCAAAGTTAACTCAGTCTGTGTTACCCGAGACTCACTTTGCAGAACACTTTGGTACATGCAAGTCTTGTGAGCACTTATTTCTGTGAAGCTGCTCATAAATGAGCTTCAGATACCAACTAGAAATAAACAGAGCTGCTAGTGTCTGTCCCTGGGGCCATGTTTTACCAGCCAAGAGGAGCCTTGCAGAGTGCCAGTGGCCCCAAGTTATAGATATTTCTCCCTGGAACCCACCCTGCCAACAAAGGCCAACAAGGCTGGCAGAAGTCTCACCAGGAGTAGCCACCCCCAGCGAGGGCTCCTGTCCCCAGGACTGACCTTCTTGTTCAAGGCAGAGGGGTAGGATCTCACAGTGAAGTAGGACTCGGTGCTGTTCTGCTCGATGTACTGCAAGCTGTCCCCATCGTTGTACATAATAAGACGAGTGGAGTCATTGAAGAGAACTCCAACGCTGTTGTCACACAGCTGGTAGCCTAGTTCAGAAGGGAGCCCATTAAACCTTCAACAAGGGACCACCAGTTGTGGGAAATACAAAGGCAGAAGGTTGTATCATCTAGGGGTTCCCTGACAGCCACCCCACAAAGTCCCCACCAGGTCCAAAGAGCCTCCTCTTTGTGGAGGTCTGAGTGGCACTTTTCCTCCCCTGGATTTGTCATCCTCCTTCATTGCATCACCTGCTGCAGAAGCAGCTTTAACTCCCACAGGGAGAACACGCACTCACTGCAGAGCAAGGGCACCAATCTCATGCAGCAGGTAGCCATTTTCCACCTTAAAGTGGTTAAGGCTGATGTTCAGTGACCACTCCTCTGGATTCAATGGGCATTTGGTCATGTTTCTGGTGGCGGTCTTGGACACACACACTAGAATACTGTGATTAAAAAACCAGACCAACGCAATCCCCAGATCAAAACTTCCCCCAGCCTCTTCAGAAAAGGCTGAAGCGTGGCCCTCATGTTATTTACCTAGACCATATTTATCTGAGTAGTCCACCCATTTGCTAACCCAGAAGATGGGAATGCAGGCTGGGTCTTCAGCTTCTTCTGCAAAAAGGAAAGGAGCTTGTTAGAAGACATTTCACTCTTCCCTGTGCACCCCAGCAAGCAAGCAAGCAAGGTCAAGAGGCTTTTCAGCCTTCCAGTCCGAAATTGAGTTGGCCAGCTGGTCTCTCACTTCAGACAACAGCTTCCCAGTGACAGAGAAGCAAGTTATCCGGGAAGGCCTGTGGGATTGTCCCCAGACTCACCTTGTCTCACTGCCACTCTCTCGGAGGGCTTGGCCAAGTTGACTGCAGTCAGCTGCTGTAACATGTCAGCTAAGTGACAGTCAACAGCATCTCCCAGCTCCCGCAGCCCAGCTACGTCTTCCTTTTCAGGCAAGTTCTCTACTGCAGGGCTGTCCGGTCCTGGGCCAGGAAAGAGAAGAGTGTGGAGGCATGACCAGGGAGTCAGTTTCTAGAGGCACCAGATTTACATTCTGCCCGAGCTATAGGAAACACTTTGTATACCATATAGCTAAAGCTAATGCTGGCGCTTCCTCCCTGCCTTGGTTCTGGGCAGAGGGCAAGGAGACCTCTCTCTCACTCACAGAATGCTCCAGGTGTTCGTAAGTTCATAAGAATTGGGAGACGAGGCGAGGCAGCGCCACATTCCCCATTGATGGTTCTGGGTGTTGCTGGAGGCCAGGCAGGCTCTCATCCAGCACTGGAGCCCAGTCCCACCCCCAGATGCTTACACTTACCTTTATTGAGCGCAGTCAGTGGCTTTCGCCCGTTCAGTTCGAGTCCACTGGGAGCAATTGAAAATCTAGGTGCAACGGTGAGACAGCTGGTGGGCAAGCGGCTGGGGATGTATCCCGACGTGAAGAACTCGTCATTCAGCAACTCGTCGA